TAGTTCAATTCCTTCAGCCAACCCAAAGGGTCTTGATTTTACAGACCAAGTTCCTATCAGGGAAACAAGCTAGATGCCATCGCTAATCGAAGTGGTAACGCACTTACGGTAGATCCCATTAACAGCTTTCACTGAGGCTCTGAAATGCAGCTGCTCTACGTTTCTGCTTCTCCGTGTTTCAAGTAGGATACCACTCCAGTAACTCATGAGTCAGAAACAGGGTGATGAGGGGTTTGGGCACCCCCACTTCTCCACCCCTCATGATGTACAAAAAACATTAATCTGTCCTTTTCTAAACTAAGCAGAATATTTTAAGCAAAATTCTCCTGATCCAACATACTTCTTTGGAATAAAAATAAAGGAAAGAAAAATGAGATGGGAACTTGAAGCCAAGGTTGGTGTTAAACCTCTCCCTCTGCTCCAAAATTTTTTAGAAAACCAACCACTCCTTCTTAAAGTGTCCTTAAACCTAATTAGAACATTTAATTGCTACAAAATTGATTTTCTTTCCTAGGCTTTTAAGACCATATCTGCAGGGAGCCTTTGGGGAAAAAGTGAATGACCGTTCTCAATAGGTTTGCAAATGTTTCTGACTGAGCTAACCTGACAGGTCCCTGGGAGGGAGAGTCTGTGCCTGGACTATCAGCTGAGCCAGGCTGAGCTTCTGAAGGTATGAGCTTGTGTGCAATAAACTGATCCCAAGGAGCACCAGGGAAGCTCTGTTTGCATAGGTTGACTTAAAACACCTTTCATATTCTCCAAAATATGCAAAGCACATGGCTATGGATAAAAACATAACTTACCGTACCTTTAAGAGTGCCCAAATTTCAGTCATTTGGTCCTATGCCTACCGGATGCCAAAACAGATAAGTAACATTTTCTTTCGTTTAACTTTTATGTTGTTCCTTCTTTGAGCAACTATTTTGGTATCTGTATAAACAGGCGTAAAGGGTTATTTGCAGGAGGCTAGAAAACGTTTGGCTATTATTACAATGTGCCCTTGAGCTTTAGTATATATTTACAATATGCATATTACAAGTTATTTACGGTAGCATTAAAATAATTAAACAGATAATGAGCCCCACCTAAAAATCATGTAAGGCCACAGGGACCCCCATGAATGATGAAGTGAAATCAATAAGGAGATAGTAAACTAACAAATAGGCAGGCGAAATACCACTGGCATGATAACCATTGGATTTATGCTGCCATAGACGTCTATTTTCTTCCTAAACATCACCACCTTTACTTGGTGGTGGTGGTGTTTTTTTGTTGTTGTTTTGTTTTGTTTTTTAATGAACAAGTTAGACAATACATAGTTTGAAATTCCAACAAATGGTTCAAATAAGAAAGCCAGGTTTTCCAAGTTTGGCTTTTCCTTAAATGCACTTTTGTTTGGTTTTGCATCCACAGATGTTAAACCTAGGTATTCTAATCATATTCTCTGCACCATAGATACATACATTATACTCATAATGGAAGAGAATTTTGGAAATTAGAACTGTGTTAGACTATCTAGTAATCAAAAATAAATTATAATAATAATAAATCCCTCAAACTCAAAATTCCAGTTTCAAACTAAGATCTGCTTATATATGTATACAAATGTATAGATATATTTATATACATTTAGATAGATGTACACACATATATACATATATACACAAAAATTTATACATAAACACACATACACAACACATGCACACACACACTCACACATTTCAGTGCAGTTTCTTTTCTCTAGCTGCCTCCCTTTTTTCCAACTTAGAACAGTAATGATGAGATGCTAGGGGCAGTCAATCATATTCAGATTTCTGACCTGTCATGAACAAAACTTGAGATTGTTTAAAAAGCCAAAAGGTGAAAATAGCAGATTCATCCATACACACATACACATACGCGTGCGTGCATACACAGACACCTGTCTTACCCCTAGTGAAATCTTCCTTGGTGAACTGGAAGCTAGCTGACCGCTATGGGTTTCAGAGGGCACTGTCCTCACCATATCTCTCTTCTATAACATCACTGCCCCTTGATCGGGCTTCTTCCATGAAGCAGTCTTTGGTAGGCAAAAGTGCCCATCCAAACCTGTCCTTTATCCCCTAGGGATGTGCATGCCTCACGGGACTTGCAACTCAAAATAGCTAGCGACTTTCAGGAAGGATTTCAGGCTGGAGTCATCCCGGCTGCCTTCTGCTTAGACTAGAAGAAACTATTAAAAGGCGAAATCCAGAAAACAGAGAGAAGAGCTTGTATCATGAGGTGGTTAAGCTGTCGGCCTCTGGGGTCTAAGAAACCTTGATGAAAGCCTGTCTCTGCCCTTGTCAAGCGATGTGCTACTTTACGTTTCTGTTACTGACCTCTTCTGTAAAAAGAGGACATAACAGGGGCTACTTTATTAGGTCTTTATGGGATTAAATAAATAAGGTATATAAAGCTCTTAGGAGAGTTTCTGGCACATAATAATAAATCCTTCGTATATATTATTTGTAACTTGATATTTAAACCGTAAATCTACAAAGTGGATCGGAACTACACACAGGATAATGTCAGCCTAGGATCTGGATGAATTCAAGCTCGACACCCAAGTTCTAGTCCCTAGTAGACGACAATGCTTATCACAGTAAACTGGGCCCTAAATGAACACATGAACAAATGAATAGGCAAATGACTAGCGTAAACTCTCTGGGTCTTCAGGTTCCCTTGTATGACATGGGGGAGAATAATCTGACCTTTATTCTATCACTGGGAGGTTAGCATGTTAGATTAAAAGAAAAATGTCAAATTCTTTAAGACACAAAACCTGTTTCGAGTGAAATAAGGCTCAGTAACCAGAGCCTGTGCCTAGACTTGTCACATCTCTGACAACAAGGGCATGGGGGCAGCTGTCTGAGTCTGAGGATCATATTTTCCAAGGTCTAAGTATCATCTTTAGTGAGGGGATATTCAACCCAAAGTAATGGAGGACACACTCAGCATTAAAGACAATGAAGTCGTTGGCCTGTTCTAAGCATTCTTGCTCCCTCTTTCCTGTTTTATTTCTGAGAGCACCTTGTTGTCTACTGTTGATCAGCTTAAAAAACATCCCTCATAGAGTCACCTAACTTAAAATGCCCCCAAAGTGCTTCACGACAAACACATTTCGCTGCTATAAAGTTGATGACTCCACTGAAGTAGCATTTTTCCTGAGGCACAAAAAGACTTAGATAGAAGAAAGAGTCCTAGCCCACAGGCCTGCCTCATCACTACTGGAACTCTGGAAGAAAATGACACATTTTTCTCCAAATTTTAGCATTTACATCTGTATGAAGTGATAATAAATGAACACTGTACAGAATTAAGGTGATACAAATTGTTGCTGTTCATTTCATCCTATCTCTTGACCCAGAGTCTGTCTCTACATGGTTAAGAATGTCTTAGAAGATATAAGCCAACCCTTAACTCAGGGTTTCTCAGCCTCAGCACCATGGACATGTGGGGTTGGATAATTCTCTGTTGTGGGGTCTGTTTGGTGCATTGTGGGATATTTAGCAGCTTCCTTTTTACTCGCTGGATGCCAGTAGCACCTCTCAAATCATGAAAATCAAAAAATGTCCCCAGGCATTGGGGAAAGTTCCCTGGGGTGCTAAATCTCCCCTGGATGCGAGTCGCTGCCTTAAATGCACATAACTCACAAAAATCAGAGAAGAGCTGTTCCTGCAAGTGTTTCTGTGTGTCTCTCTCCTTCAAGATAAAACACTGACCACTGGCTGCAGTTGACAAAAACTGCTAGTGATCAGTGTGAATTTGATGCACATTTAATTTCCCAGGCATTCATTTTCTTTTTTCTTTCTTTTAGTAAGATGCCACCAGTGACTATGTAAATGAAAATGAGTTTGGTTTTTATCTAGAAATCTGAAATGTTTGAATTTTGCATCAGGAAACCAGCTCTTCTCAACATTCTCAAAGACTGACACCCACCGTGAAGAAAAATTATTCAAAGTGCTGAATTCAAAGCTGTTAAACTTTGTAACCAAAGAACTTTATCCTTGCACTTGGATAGCGTTACCATGGACATGACTAGCCACTGACCCAACACCAAGCTAAAAATTGCACATGTACACACATACACACACACGTGCACACACAGACAGATGCAATTATAAAGCAACTCTTCTCCACTACTTAGTTGTGCATCAGTCCTCTTCCATTTGTGATGGATGGAGCCAACATCAGCAGGGGGAGAGTCTGAAGTTATGCTGATTTTTATTGTGCAAATGCAGGTAAATTAGCTAAAGGTCAATTCTAAGAATAAACTGACAAGATGGAAGAGGTCGCTGGAGAGAGGAGACTTACTAAATCCTCGAGTTGGCATGTAAGTGCTTTTAGAAAGCTGATTAACAGGAACATCGCTGCCTTCTTCCCCCAGGACAAACTCCTTGATAGTCACTGGACAGGGACACATTTTTCTTTAGACTTTTCAAAGTAAATTTCCTAAATAAAGCAAGGATGACAGTCTAGGAACTCAAAATTCTTTATCCAGTAAACAACACAATTTGTTCACAAACAAGAGGAACATTTTTTAAAGATTAGGAAGCTGGGGAAGTAAAGGAATCCCACTTGGGAAGTAAAGGAGGGAAGGCAAATTGAATCAAATTTAAACTTATTGTTATTTTTTAAAATTCTTGGCCAAGTAATCTTAATTAGTGTCTCAAGTTCATTAGTTTCATTAACCATTATTTACTTTCCTTTGTAGTAGTCTTTACTTAAATGCTAACTCATGATCATGACAAGCATGAATTTAAGTCATCCATTCTCTATTTCTGGTAGCACGTGGGAGTTTGGTACCTCTCTAGTTACTCTTGTACATGCAGGGACCAAGTGGATCACTGAAAAACCTCCAAATTTTTTTCTTTCTGAATAATCATAGTACAGCCATCTCTCCTGGTCAGAGTGCCTGGAAAATTAGAGAACTTCATGTCATTACTTAGGGACTATGACAGCTATTTTGTATCCACTCCTTCTTTTTTTTTCTTTTCTTTTTAAATTTATTCTCCCTCATTGGTTTCGCTTGAAGTTTTTAATTAATGTTGGGGTTCAGGGTCTTCAACTATCTGAGAGCCTCCTAGTCCTGTTTGAGTCAAACTGGACAAATTGAGCAGCTCCATGAGTTAGGATTTTATTTGTGAAATACAGCTGAAATCATGAATCATTCCATATTCATTTGGGTAGTTTGTGCATGCAGTTATTGGAACCCCCTTTGGGGCCACACACATCATTAAATTATGGATCATCCTCAAGTTCCTCTGACCCGAACCGCGTAAGGGCCTAGAAATGAACAACTCCTTGTTGGGCATCATTAGGGCACATCTCACTCAGACATGTGCTCCCATCTACCCAGCCACAAAACTATACTGATGCAGGTTTTCAGCATGGGAAAAAAAAAAAAAAGGCATAAACATACACAACATGGAGAAGACGTTATGATTGACAGGCAGGTGAAAGGACAAAGAAATTATGGAAATCTACTCTGCCCTTGTCCTGGGTGTTCCTTTTTGGGGTCTTTTCTCTTAAGATAATGAATTATGCATGCTTTGACTTATCTGCAGTGGAAAGAGAGAGGAAGTACCACAAGGAAGTGAGAGATATGTTGACCTCCGCATTGTCTCTGAGCAGTTTCTCAAAGAAAGGTCCACAAGCCATCTCATTAAAATCATTAAGGATAATGATGCACAATGAAGATTCCTTGGCCCTGTTTGAAGTTTCTGAATCAGACTCTCCGGGGCTAGGGTGAAGGAAGCTGCATTTTTACAAATGATTTTATGCATGCTGAGTATTGGAAACACTGCCCAAAAGTTTGCAGAGGAGGTCACAGGAGAGAGAGTCTCTATTCTAAAGTATATGTGAAGATGAGAAAAACAGACATTTCAAATGAACAAGCTTTGTGCTTGCATCATGGTGCTGTGATTATTAAAGTTTAACACTCTCTTTTTTCAGCAGGGGTGGAAAGCAATAACCATTTCATCTAAAATCAGAATGATGAAGACAATATAAATCAAAACCATTCTAGCAGGTTTCATTTGGTCTAATTTCTCTGCAGATATTAATCATTGTACAGACTCGTACAAATGACATCTAACTCCATTTTAACTCAGAATACAGAATGCTCACTCTGATTCTTTCTCTAGCATGTTATTTTGACAGTATTAAAGAAAATAAATAAATTGGAATAGTGGGCCATCAAGATTGCAAGATGCCAACAATACAAAGACATTAAAAGAGAAACAGCCCACGCTAAACCTATAACCCAGAATGCAAATTGGCAAAAAACATCTCTCTGCCAGAGTCATTGGGGGAAAAATGACTCTCTGCACTTTCCCTCTGAAAACTGTTAGGTCGAGTGGAGGTGACAAAGAATTCTTCCTAAAAGTTCAGAGAGTCTTAACTCTAGTAAAGAACATCTAGAAGACCAAGGTTAGTCAAGTTCCACGGCATTACATCTAGTAGCAAAAAACATCAGCACTGAAGTGCTCTTAGTTAATCCACTATGATAAATACCAAGTTGCAAGGTTGGAATTGTAACCAAGAAAAATAGATGAGAATCAAAGTTTGGTTCCCATTCCGGGACCTGGTGTCAAGTAATTTTGCAAAACACCAAATACGCCTTTTCTTTTTTCTCCCTGGAGCATGTTTCGCTTGGCACAGACAAAGGATAGTCAGAAAGGAATCAAAAGCCCAGAGAAGCAAAAGTAATCCAGAAACACACGCAAAGACAACAAAGATGACCCAGAATGAACAATACACATCCACGCCTATGGATAAAGGTGGCCCTGAATCAAATAAGGCCAGTGGAAAAGTGAAAACTTCCATGTTAGCTCTTTTAATAAATGTGCCCCCAACAAACGAATTAGTTGGGGACAGACAAAGCTATGGAAGAATAAATAGCAAAGGGAACACTTATGATTTGTGCACTGTTCCCCTTTTATTATAATTCACCATGCGTGCATTTCCAGAAGATAACTGTGCCTACAATTACCAAAGACAACATCACTGCGTATTGTGGAAGCCGCCTCACTTTGTGTTTTATGGCCATTCCTCAGTGCCGTATTTTTCTTAGTGGGGGCAGGGAGAGCACACTACCACAGTGATCCCACAGTTTTATTTTCCTGTCTTCCCCCTTTCCTGCTGAACACAGGTCACTCTCTTTTTGACAGTGGGTAGGAGGACATTATAAATACGGTTCTGACTTCAGAAGACCCACATATCATGGTGAATGACCACCGCCTCCCCACACTCAAACCTCAGGGGGTTTCAGCATTGCAGAATTTTCCAGGAGGCAACTTAAGTTGGGGCTCTGCACATATGAGTCCTCATCCATTTGACCCATTTGATGCTACTAGTTTCTTCCTATCAGCCCTTGTCATAACGAATATCCAAGAAGCAAACCATATGTATCATTCTGCCTGGAACTGAACTACACGTTTTTAAAACTATGTTAAGTTCAGGACAATGGGCCTGATTCATGGTGACTACCAGGGCTACTACAGTATTTAACCTTCTAACTCACCCAGAACTTACTGCCAGTGTTGCAGGCCACGTAGCCCTCACTCGAATCCCATTCAAGCTAGGACTGAAGGTGTCCATTGACTCGGTGCCCCTGCAGAATCTTTCACCGGCCAGGTCTACCATCACCTCTGCACCAAACACCCACACACAAGAAGAGCATGCTGTTGCTTCAGCTATTTGGACACTTTGGAGTGGGTATCAGCCTAGACCTGACCCAGATTAAAAATTTTATTGTTGTTTTAAACAGACTTCCCACTAGTTTTGTTCATTGAGGGTATAAAGACTGCCTACCCAGGAAAAAAGTCATGACGGGGCAAAGGACAGAGAAGTGATGCCATGAACATTTTCTTTGCAGTCTTCAATTTCCTATTTAAAGTATGCGGTAAGAGTAGTGGGTTGACTGCCATCTTACTAGTTCCCTAATTCTTACTAGTGTGTCTTGATCTGATACCATTACAATCAGGTTTGAAATTTAAGGAAGCTGGGACTCTGCCCTTCTTATTCGGACCCCCAACTCTTTGACAGCACTTCCAGGAGGACCGTAAGAATCATCTGACCAAAGTGAGTTCAGGGATATTTTCACCAAATTTAACTTCTTGACCCATGAAGTTCTATGATCCTTTGCAAAATCTTCTATTATTAGGACGGTGGTATTCTGATATGGCATAAAGAAACATTGAAAAGACTGAAGATTACTGGTAGGCTTTACAAAGCTATGTTGCAGTTAAGATCAAACGTCAACTAATATATTAACACATAAAAGGATACCACTTAAATTCATAATTATAATTCTCTTGACAACTCAACTCCCCAAATGATCTTTCTTTCTTACTTAAGTAAAACTGTAAACTCCATTCAAATCATCAGGACAAGAAACCACTGGCCAAGTCTGTTGCCCGGGTGTGAAGGCAAGAATTACAAAAAATTCAGAAAGATATCCATATACTAATGGGTATAATAACAGAAATTAAGATGGATCTCTTACATGATAAACGTGTATCAATCAAAGATTTCAAAAAGAAGCCACTGGTCGTTATTTTTCCTTCCTACAGACACCATCCAGTTGCCTTTATTACCTGTGACACATATATACATACACACATAATAAAAAGAAAGAAATTAGGAGTGCTTGGCACACAATTAATGATGGACAAATTATTTTTCAGTTTCCACTTAACTGCATGAGGAATGCTGAAGGTAAAACTTGGCCTCTAATCTTCATTTACCACAAGTCTATGAAAGAACTATTGGTAGGTGAATAGAATACAGAGTCACATGGATGGATGGCTATTCACAGTTTCTTTTTGGCTGTGTCTATACAAGTCAAGGGTGTAATCAAGAAAGACGGTTTAGAAAGCCGGAATCATCATTTCGGGGCTCCAGTTATCCAGATGGATTGTTCACAGACATCAGTGACGGCCAAGTCCTAGTATGGACACAGCCAAATCCCAGATCCCAAAGGCAAACAGATCTGGCTACAAGAAAGTAACAATGTAGCACTGTAGTTTTAAAAGGTTATGAGAAATGATTAGGAGGGATGTGAAAAACACTTTCCTCTGAGCACAAAAAGTGGGAGCCTTAAAGGACTCTGTGCTGTTCTTATTCCCACGGCTACACAGGAGTGCAGAGAACTCAACGTGGGCTATGTGGGAAGGCCACACCGTTACAACACGGGCAGTAAGAGCTCTGAAAATACTGAGAGAAGGAAAGTAATTCAGCCCAGGGTAGGGCAGGCTGAGTGTGGGGTCGTTTTGCAGTCATTTTTGTGGATATGGGTGTTTGGGTTCCTTTAATACAAAGAAAGTTTGACTAGCTCTCCTAGCACAGAGAAAGAGCATCGTGGTAAAGTGGAGCCTGAGGGTGATAATTTCGAAATAAGGAAGATGATTTGTTGATGATGAGGGTTATTGGATGTTCGGAAGCCTTGCCAAGAGAGGCTGGGAAACCTTCCCAGGAGGGCTTTAAGAAAAGAGCAGAGGCTCGTGTGTCGGAAGGACCCTAAGAGGGTGCTGCTGGGAGTGTGAGCACAGCCCTTAGGACGTCCAGGCCCTGGGATCTCGTGCGCAGTATGTATATACACACTTCGTTGTGCTTGTGTTGCACAAACACTCATGCAGACGGGGTCATTATAAACTGGCACATAATCGATGTGAGTGAAAAGTCATATAAATCTGCCATTCCCCCCACCCCTTCCCCCATAAACAAAAGGGAAAAGGAAAATTTAAAAATCCAAACATATGCCATTGGGCCGGGTCTCTACCATATTCTCATTCAAAGGAGGGAGATAGAAGATGAGAGAAAAACCCAGTCTGGGAGGAAGGATTCCCACGTCTTCTCAGCTATTCTTACATAGCTGGCTCTCCTTAGAGATAAGATACTCAGGACATGGGACCAAGTTAACAAACAAAGAAATAACTCCCCCCCCACCAAAAAAAAAAAGATTTTTTTACACTTGCACATCTGGAGAGAAATCTACCCTGTGGCTTTACGTGTTAAGGTGAACTAGGTAAGTAGGCAGTAGTAATAGGTCAATGAGCTATTGTGTTCTAATAAACGTGGATTGTTGTTTTTCTTTTCAAATGTGGATTCTGTTTAGGAGGTTTATTTCAAAATGGTGACACGGTTTGTTTCTCCTCCCACCCCCCCCCCCCAGCCTGCCCCTATAGATGGTACTTTCGTAAAAGTTCAGACTGCCACGGATGCTTCCTCTCGGGGAACCTATCTGGAATTTTGATCTTTAGGAAATCCTGGATGCACTTCTCCAGCTCTTCCTCAATGGAGAGCTTTTCCTTCACAGCTTTTTTTTTGCTGCTCATGTTCGACTCCCTGGAGCCCGAAGTCAGAGTCCGGAGCAGGTCACTTTTCCGTCGCATCTCTGACTGTTGGATCAGCTGCACGGGGCCCTTCTTGATGGGGCGGTCCAGAGTCTGGATGTTGGTCTGGCGTGTCACGGGCCCACAGATGACTGTCTCCTGGGGAGAGCTGGCCTCAGACTGGCTGTCGCAGCTGGAGGTGGAGAGGTCGTTGCAAGAGGTGCCGCTCTCCCCTTCTTTGTCACCCTTGCCATTCTTGCAGCAGCAGTCACAGTGCGAGGATGACCACCTGGAAGGCTCACCTGCAAGGAAGCACAGAGCCCAAGGGATTAATGCCAGGCAGCTCAGCTCAGAGTAGCACACAGCACCTGAATACACACACAAGCATCCACAACCGAGTCTTAAAAAGAAGTGAGATGGCACACAGGACGGGCTGCAACAGGACTACCCAGCAGCCAAATCCATTGAGGGGAGGAAGTTAATGATGAGATGCTGCTAAGAGGAAATGCAGGCTAATGCTTCCACCCATAGGCAACAGAGTCAGATAGTTACTCAGCTACACCCTTCATGAGCCTTACTACCTTGGCAGGCCCCTTAAATTCTCGAGGCTTCTGTTTCCTCATCTGTGAGATGAGAATAATAACACCCCTACTGCCTAGAGTTGTAGGGCGGATTTAGATATGCCAAGTGAAACTCTACATGCAGTCTGAGGTACACGGGAAGCACTCAATGCTAGCTGATTTTACTGAGGCCGATTAAACTCTAATCTAATGCCCTGCATCACTGCAGGCAGGTACAACAGGGGGAGTCCATGAGAGTGCAATGACAGCTACTAGTCAGGGAGGCTTACTCTGCACCAGCCCCATGTAGCTCTGTGCACTCATCAACTCGCCAGACCCTCATGATAATTCTAAGAAAGTAACTCCACTCCCAGTTTCCATACAAAGAAACTAAGGCCCTGGAAATGTAAGAAACTTGCACAATTTGTAATGGCACAATTTGTAAATGGCAGAGCTCGGATTTGAATACAGATCTCCCAAATACTATAATCAAGGCTGTTTATGAAATTCCTGCTTCTCTTTCAAAACAATTTTGTAACTTCTCTCTAAAGTCCTTGTTCATCTCTCCTCAGAAATATTTGTCAAGTTTAACTCTGAATTATGGTTTTATTTTGTAAGTGCCTTTATTATTGTACATATCATGTTTGTTGTAATTCTTTTCTACCTTTGGCATCTCAGCTACTATGCCATAAGCTCCCTGAGGTAGACACAGTAAAGTGTCCATTATTGTAATTGCAGAAAATAGCTTGGGTCACAGTGTAGAAATTCAATGAAAGACTATTCCAGTAAAAATGTAAATACCTGGATCCAGCCATATCTGAAGGCAGATCTGTCACTGAGCTTTTCACTTATATGAGCCCCTACATTTATATCTAAGCCAGTGTGAATTCCTCTATCCCTGTCTGCCTGCGGCTTGATTCATAGTACTGCATTCAGCTATTTAGAGGGAGAGCCATTTTTCAGATACACAGTTGGTGGCTCCCTGAACTAAAAAACCCCCAATCATGGCACAAAGCAATTTCCTAAATGTAAGTCACTGCTCCCAGCCCTCCACCCTCTGAACAACCATAGTCTTCTTGGAGTTACGAACTTAATACTGTTTGATGATCACAGGTGATACACTGGGTACCTCATATAGTACACTGCATTTAAGCCATAAAAAATAAAGGGAAATCAATCTACTTTATGATGCTAATATTGAGGACATGGATAATATAGTATGTTTATATGTTTTAAAGGAGACCCAGTTTTGATTTGCACTATATCTTATTCCCATGAATGTAAGTCACATTAAAAAGATCCCATTTTACTGTCATTTCTAATGTGGTCAAAGTAGAGGAGCCCTAGAATGGAAACTATTAGGAGAGTTATATCCTGTCTTCTTGTACAATGCCTGTCCTCTTTGTATCTAAATGATGTAAATATTTATAGCAATTTGTACATTTTTTTCCAGCGAGAGTGAAAAAAACACAGTCCCTGTAAATTACAATGCCAAAAGTATCTCAAATATATGTCTGCTCCTTCAAACCACTTTTTAAAATGTGGAATCATTGTATTTATATACCCATTAAGTGAAATGCAACAATCCAATTAGCCAAAAGGAATCACCCCAGCAGTAATGTCCTAGTTATCTCAGGCTATTACAAATAAATATCTTCCGTGCAACAGAAAAACTGTTCAACATGTACCAGCTGGTGACTGAAAATATCAGTGATAGGAAACGTTTTCTGTCTGCCAGCCTAGATTCTGAGGTGAACTTTTTTTCTCCTTCAGAAGGCAGAATCTGCCTCTGCCTCTGCAAACCTGGCCATCCCCATACTAATATGACTCAATGGGGAAAAGTCTCTAAGGAATTGGGTCAAGGAAAAGTAATCACATCAAGTCAGAGCTGATCTAGTTTGCCCTTTCTTGAGAAAAGTTCAGAAACTGAACTCAGCTTCTAAAAAAAGAAAGAGGAACAGGAGAAAGAAACGAGAGGAACTATGTGCTGGAATACGCCTGCCTATTACCTTTACAGAAGATGACAAAATACTTTGGCCATTAACCCAGCTGAACCAGAAGAAATACAAGCCTGTGTTTCCCTGCCCAAGAGTTATCTTCCTCATGGTAAAGTCATTCCATTCAGTGGACCTGGAGTGAAACCCGAGGCTTTTCTAAAAGGCATTTTCACAACACAAACACCATCATGGGAGGGAGTTCTGTGTATTCCGGTGGAAAACTACACGCAGCCCTCCACTACCTGCCCCAGCCAAGAACCTGGCACGGATGCGCTGCTTCCTGCCTGAACGGCTGGGATGAGCAGGGGTTTAAATGTCAGCTGGCATCTTCCAGCTTCCGGGAAAAACAGAAGTATTACTTTCTCATTACTTTCTACTTATTCTAAGCACTTTCACTATTAAAGGGAAATGGAACAACTTAATTTTAGGGGAGCCTGTTAGACTACCACATGTTTCAATATTTTATGAGTACATTTGAATGTTTTTACTCTTTTGGAAAGATAATTTGTAAGATGGCTTCTGAAGTCTATACATTAGGTTGAAATCAAGGAAGACGATGGGATTAATACAGTCCAGCGGGAGCTGCTGTGGGAAGAGTCATTATGAAATTTGAAAAATAACCAAAATGTAAGACGAGAATCTTGCTGTTTCTTCTTTGGAAGCATTGTCTGATGCTACCCATCCCAAGAATTTAACCACAGAAGACCGAAGTTTTAAACCAGAACACAGAAGACCCTTTTGCCCTTGCAGTCCCACTGACATGTGCTCACCAGTCCTAGAAAGGGCACAAAGATCTATGAAAGGTCAATTATGTAACTCAGGGTACGCTAGAATCCCCTCCATCACAGCAAACCATGATCTCCTAAATACCTTGGTACTTCAGATTGCAACATACTTTTGCTCCCCATTTCCTGAGGTTTCAATACTGGCTCTCCATTTGTGGAGAAAACAGGTTACAATTGATTAGTCAGATACAGAGAGAAAACCATTTCATTCTAAGAGAAGTCTGTTTCATTGATAATAAAAAAGAAAAACACCTGCTGCCTTTTGAGGGGATGTATTAACTAGTTGCTGGTCAAAGAGGCTAATAGCTTGTCCTTATTTTTAAGCAAACCATTGTTGAATTTGTTGGACATCAATTTTTGCTGTCTGGCACACAACAGAGGTTTGATAAATGTCTGATGATTAAATGAGTGAGGCAAACACATGTGTTGAGTTATATGAAGTTGATAGCAGAGCAGACAAATTTCAGGCTCCAGAATCAGGCCCCACAATATGTCAGCTTGGATAAGTTACTTTACCTCCCTGAGCCACAGCTTCCTTGTCTGAAAAATAAGGCTCATAACAGTATCTTCCTCATAAGGGGTTTAGGAAAATTAAATGAAAAAGTTAAGGCAAAGGTGTTTCATGGTTTGTGGCATCCAATAAGCGTTTCAGTCACCATATACATTTATTCTACTAGGAGTCACACACTGACCTACAGGAACAAAACCAGTCAGGAGCTTGTTAGATATGATGGTGATGCTTCCACTAAAATGCTGTACAACGGATGCTGGGGTCTGGCTGGAATATCACGTTAGGAAGAGCACTGATGCTATAACTGGATTCATTAGGGAAGTATCTACCGAGCACTTTGTAAGGTCTGACTTTGTCTTGGGAATGGAGAGTAACCGCTAGCACATACAGTGTCTGGTAGATAGTGTGGGACCAGGGCATCACTTTGGATAGAAGGCTCCTTTACAGTTTGCAGTGCTTAGGATTTCACAAATGGATGAGTCTTCCAGGGTAAAATTTTACTTGAAGACACATCGAATAAATTTAAACCCAGAGCCTGGAGGAATCTGTCTTCTGGATTAAACGGGGAAGGGCAGGAAACTCAACAGACTCAAGTCCTTAAACACTAAATCTTCCAACATTTTACAACTTGGAAAAAATTGAGGACCAATCAAGAAAATTATATGATTGGACTTGGCCCCTTTCCACTGTAGCCCTAAGTTCTTACTGACAAAGAAGGAATAAAAGAGGAAAGACTACAGAATCTTTCTCCCCTATGAAAAATTCAAACAGAGCTGAGTGAAACATGACTTAGCAAACTCACAAAGTGCTTATGCATTTTTAAAAGAGGCAGCTCTGCAATCTACCCACACTTCAAATCCTCCACCTGCTAATGGTTGCAAACACAATGCACATCATTTACAGCAACAGCTGGGAAAACTGCTTTCCCCTGTCTTCTCTGTCAATGATGTAGGAGCCTGCCAGTCTGGGAGCTAGGTGGCCAGATTTAATTTATCGAGGCTGCTGAAACACTTTCTTGGTATCCCAGCTGAAAAGTCAATAATGCCCAAATTGATATTTTTATAATTCTGCCAGCCTTGGAAAAGATATTGCATAGAGGAGATTGGAAACAGGCAGACTGTGCAAAATGCATCTTCCAGCTTGACCATCACATCATTTCTTGCTTGCGACTTAGCTTTTCCACTCATGGACATTTGGCCTTGGATGGGCCCAGCTGGGGACCCTCATTAAGAGGTGGCAAGTTTGGGCAACTGTAAACAGTGAAACTACCTATGCATCAGTCAGGGCCAGTTAGGAAAACAGACATTCCACCTGTTATCTTAACATGGAGAATTTAATACCAGGAATGTTTAAGCAGACGTTGGAGGAGTGAAAATGCAAAAAAAGTGGCATGGAGGAGTCCAAGATAGTGATTGCAAGAGGCAGCTACCTCCCTTAGGGCTGGGGAGA